GCCTGTTTATGAATCAGACTGAAATCATAATATTATGTCCTACTGAGTAAAATCCTTTTGGATTAGCTTTTGCAAAGAAAAAGAAAAATTTGCTGTCGAGGAGCCTCTAACTCATGGGGACCCCATGTGTCAGAGTAGAACCGTGCTCCCTAGGGCTTTCAATGGCTGATTTATTGGGAAGCAGATCACTGTTTGCCGCCCCCACTGCCTGCCATGATATTCAATGTGCTTCCTAACCATTCTTTCTGTAAATATACTAATATTACTTAAAACCCAAATACTTTGTCATGTATATCAATCAACCAGTTAAGAGAAGACTATCCCTCCAATTTCCAAAACTGCAGAAAGATAACTAATATCATGCCTCATTATGTTATCCCACCAGCCACTCCTTGGAAGGAAGGTTGGGCAATCTATTTCCATAGTGATACTGCCTCGGAAACCCAAGGAGGGGTCTCTATGAGTCAGATCTGACTCAACGGCAATGAGTTTGGTTTTTTCGGTTTATGTTATTTTTTAGCCCATTTAAAAAAAAAAAAAAACCTTAGGATAAATATGCATCATGTTAATAATAATATGCTGTTTCTTAAATATATTGTAATAAAAATATTTTCTAATTTCTATTTTAACTTCTTCAACTCATAAATTACTTAGAAGTATATTCATTTCCAAGAAGCTTAGGATTTCTTAATTATCTCTATTACCAATTCTAGCTTAATCCCATTACAGTCAGAAAATACACTGAATAATTTCAATCTTGGCACTTGTGAAAGCTTTGTGTAGGGCACAGTGCATGATCAACTGATAAACGTTCTACATGCATTAATTCTATTTTTACTGGGTACAGTGTTCTATGAGTCAATTAGGTCAAGTTTATTCATCACTTTAAGGAGCCCTGGTGGTGTAGTGCCTAAGGCATTTGACTGCTAACCAGAAGGTTGGCGGTTCAAACCCACCAGACAATCCATAGAAGGAAGACTGGGTAATCTACTACCATAAAGATTTATCGCCTCGGAAACCCAAAGGAGTCACTATGAATCAGAATCAACTTGATGGCAGTGATTTTTTTTTTGTTTGTTTGTTTATTCACCACTTTATTAAGATCTTCTATATCCTGATTTTTTGTCTGTCTGTTTTATAAGTTCTTGACAGATATGTGTTAATATTTCCCATTAGGACTGCGAACTGGTCCTGTTTTAGATCTGCCCATTTTTCCGATACATGTTTTGAAATCCTGTTGTTTGTAACATACAGATTTACTATTGATACCTTTCTGGAGGGCTGACCACTTCATCATAATAAAATGTCTCTCTTTATCTCAAAGTAATATTATCATGTACTTTGTCAGTTATTAAGGAGCTCTGGTGGCACTGTGGTTAAGGCATTGGGCTGCTAAACCATTGGTGGTCTGTCCATGGGAGAGAGATGAGGCAGTCTACTTCCATAAACATTAACAGCTTTGGAAACCCTATGAGGGTTGCTATGAGTCGGAACTGACTCAATGGCAGTGGATTTTTTGTCAGTTATTAGTGTAGCTATACCAACTTTGCTTTGGTTAGGGTTTGCATAGAGTTTTAGGTTTTTGTCAAGTCTAACAAGCTTAGTCTTTAACTTGGAGTATTTAGTCCATTTGCATTAACTGTAATTATTTATATTTATATATATGGGTTTGTCTTAATGTTCATTTTCAGTTTGACCCGTCTTTTTAATGGACACTTTTAATTCCGTTTCTGATTTTTCAAAATTATTTATTGTACTCCATTTTTCCCACTTTAAATATTCTTTTACAGACTGCATTAGAGATTACACTATGTACCCTTGACTAAGAATAGTCAATAATAAAAATTACTGATTTTGCTCAATAGATCTAAAACCTTACAACACTTTAACTTCATTAACCCCTCTATTGCATTGTAACTGCTGCGTACTGACAATATTCATTTATATTTTACACACATATTTACCCTTTATGGAGTTCTCATTCCTTCCTTAATTTCCATCTGGGATCATTTTCCTTCTCCTAAAGTATCTTCTCTCCCTTTAGTATTTCTTCTAATGTAGGCCCATTAAAACCTCCTGCTGTCGAGTCAATTCCGAATCACAGAGCCCCTTTGTGACAGAGCAGAACATAGACTTTCCCCATAGGGTTTCCAAGGCTGTAATCTTTACGGAAGTGGACCGCTTCGTCTTTCTTTGTGGAGCAGCTGGTGTGTTCAAACTGACAATCTTTTCATTTAGCAGGTGAAAGCTTAACCACTGGACCACCAGGCTACTTAATGCAGGTCCATTAATGGCAAATCCCTTAGTTTTATTCCTGTTTGGAAATATCCTTATTTCATCTTCACTTTTGAAGAATTTTTTTTTTCTTTCAGTACCTAAAAGATGGTCATTTCATTGCCTTTTTTTTTTAATCACTTCTTTTAAGTTGCCACAGTCAGTTATACTATTGCTCCTTTAAAAGTAATGTGCCTCTCCCCCTAATTTTCTCCCTGTCGTAGGATTTTCATAGTTTTACATTGATGTGCCCAGATATCTTTCCTGGGTATTTACTCTGCTTGGGGGTTTCTAACCTTCTTCAATCTCTAAGCTGATACTTTTCATCATTTTGCAAAATTCTTAAATTCTTAGTATTATCTCTTCAAATATTGTTTCTACCCCACTCAGTCTCTTCTCCAATTCTACATATGTTAGATCTTTTACACGTGTCCCACATGTCTCTCATGCTCTTATCTGGTTGTTGTTTGTTTCTCCCTCTGTGTTTCAATGTGACATTATCTACTGACCTCTCTTGCAGTTGATTTAACCTTGTCTTGGATTGTGTCCAATCTTCTATTGACTGTAACCACTAAGTTCTAAATTTCAAAAATTATATTTTTTGGTTCTAGAATATCCATCTGATTCTTTGTAATAAATACAAATTATGCTGAAATTCTATCCCCATCTATTTTGCCTGTCTTTTTTTTTTCCCATTCTTTTAATATATTATTCACAGTTATTTTTGAAGTACCTGTCAACTACCTCCAGTATCTGATTCATCTGTGAGTTGGCTTCTCTTGCCTTTGAGTCAAATAATCTACCTCTCAGCACATCTAGTAATTTTTACTGAATGCTGAACACTATCATCTTTAGATGTCATTATCTCCCACCTGCACAAAACAGAGGATTCCCCTTGAACTCTGTTAGACAAGTGGCAAAGAGGACACATCATCCAATCAGAGAATGAGCTGGGTTGGGGTTGGGTTGCTTTTTTTTTTTTTTTTTTCAACTTAGTCTGCATCTGGTTTGACCCTGTTTCTAAGGGATGGACCTCCATGGATTTCAATGAGAAATCATTGTCTTCTCTGCACAAGATCCAATTCTGCCCTTAAAAGGTGTTCAGCTTAGGTTTTTAGCTTCCCATTCCACTTAGCTTCAAAACTTGACACACACCTTGACAAGGACACTGAGAACACTGACCACATGTTTGGGGACCCTCCAGTCTCTCTCTCTCTCTGTTTTTGTTTTGTTCTGAACACTTCTGCTCTTACTCCTAGGAATAGTCTACTGTCAAGGGCTAAGCCTGGATTATCATCTCCCAACAGCCCGGAATCAGTAGCTACCCCAGGTGAAA